ACCAAAAAATTTTTTTTAAAAGTTTTTTATGCGCGATCAAATTTCGATTGGACTGCGGCAATTGGTTTCTAATGAAAACCCCATGATCTTAATTCTGGAGGGTTGTGGACCTAGACAGGAGGAGTATCCAGAGACAGAGGCGAGGTGATTTGAGCCTCTTGGTTGAGGGGACCCAGGTGTAGTGGTGTGAGGCGCTAAATTTGTTTTGAAACATGGGAAATGTACTGAAATAAACCCAGGGTTGTTTACTATTCCAATATAAACAAGTCATCTCCTTGATCACAGAGATCACCTGTAAGCCTATGACCAGTTATTTATCCTTGTACAGAGAGGGAGGGAGGGAGGGAGGGAGGGGGAGGGAGGGAGGGGGAGGGAGGGAGGGAGGGAGGGAGGGAGGGAGGGAGGAGCGGAGGGAGGGAGGGGGGAGTGAGTGGATGGATAAACAGTAATGTCACCACGGAAGGCTTGTGTTACTGGATGTAATTAGCCTTGGAGTAATGATATCTATTTACAGATAAGATAAAGCAGAGGACACTAGAAATAACCTTCACATCATTAATTTGTTTGCAAAGAGGGATAGATGATGAACTTACTATGGGTCCGATCAGACTTGAGATAAGTAGACTTAACATGAACTTAAGTAAAAACAATTGACTTTGGGTCCATGTTAAGTCACTTAAGAATAGTTGTGTGCCCATCTAGGATACAACAGCCTGTGGTGTTATGTTGCAATAGACTTGTAATACCACATACCACAAGCGTATACATGTCCGCACCAAATATATGAAGGGTTTAGTATTTAACCAGCTCTCTTCTTTTTCATATTGTATTGTGGTATAGGCTGGTAGCTCCTCGCTTATCAAGTTTTAAGTGTCAGAGTTAGAGGCTGAAAACAATGTCTGGGTGATAATCCTACACACAACACACACTTCCTGCGCATACACACCCTGTTCCCGCTTACACACAGAAACACTCTCACACACAGACACACATAAAACTTAAGACACATGGTCCTGTGGTGCTCTCAGTACTCAGCACCACCTTGACCCTCTGCTCTAATCTGAACCCCTTTCTGACCTGTTAGTTCTACCAAAAATAATTTATTACCACAGCCAATATGTAACATGTTGAAATGTTGAACGCAGCTTCTGTCAGCGCCAGGTGTCAATCACCAATTAAGGGCGTGGCCCAAGGTATACATGCTTGTCTGTTTCATTCGTCCAGGGGATCCTCTTACTATGTGCAGGTTGGCGTGCCTTGGGGGACGTGTGGTTGACCGTAGCCTAGACCAAGCGATGACAATGGATTGTGAGTATGTTCATGGCAAGGTTGCCCGGTAACCACTTGGGTACCTGTTCCCCTCCCCATGGCACGCTCCCTGGGTATGATATTTGTGTGTTGGCCCGAAAGAATACGAATATTGATTGAAATATAATACATTGATAGACGATGAATGTACTGATGGAACTCAGAGGATGATTTAACCCTGTTGTGCGTGTCAGCAGTGATGTACGGAGCGCTAGGCTTGAAGCGGTGTCCAATAATCCAATAAACTATGAAATTGTCATTTTTGTCACGATCGCCAATAAGTAGGACCAAAGCGCAGCGTTGGGGAGTGACATGATGACTTTAATGTAGAAAATAACGACAAAACAAAACACGATCCGTAACGTCCTCAGTACACCGACTGAACATAGAACAAAAACCACAACTAACACAAGAAACCTACATCTTAAATATGGCTCCCAATCAGAGATAACGAGCCGACAGCTGACACTCGTTACCTCCGATTGGGAGTCATTGAATACAAACAAGGAAACCACAACCACAACCTAGAAATAGACACAACAGAACTCCCCACCTAGAAATAAACGGACAGACATGCAACCATAAAACATTCACCCAAAACCCAACAAAACAACATACACCCTGGCTCAATACACAAGTCTGGAGCCAGAGTGTGACAGTACCCCCCCCTAAAGGTGCGAACTCCGGCGCACCAGCATACAGTCTAGGGGAGGGGTCTGGGTGGGCGTCTGTCCACTGGTGGCGGTTCTGCCCCTGGTCGTGGTCCCCATCCACACCTTAGTCACACCCCGCTTCCCTAGCCTCCTCCACATACCAACCCCCCAAACTACACCCCACTGGGGTTAAGGGGCGGGCACCGGACTAAGGGGCAGCACCGGACTACGGGGAAGTACCGGACTAAGGGGCATGTACACGGACTAAGGGGCAGTAACCAGGCTGAAGGGGGATACTGGCTGGACGGCTCTGGTTGGCTCCTGGCTGGTCGGCTCTTGGCGGATCCTGGCTGGACGGCTCTGGCGGATCCCGGCTGGACGGCTCTGGCGGATCCCGGCTGGACGGCTCTGGCGGATCCCGGCTGGACAGCTCTGGCGGATCCCGACTGGACGGCTCTGGCGGATCCTTGGCTGGACGGCTCTGGCGGATCCTGGCTGGACGGCTCTGGCGGATCCTGGCTGGACGGCTCATGGCTGGCTTGATGGATCTGGCTGCTCATGGCTGGCTGACGGGATCTGGCTGCTCATGGCTGGCTGACGGATCTGGCTGCTCATGGCTGGCTGACGGATCTGGCTGCTCATGGCTGGCTGACGGATCTGGCTGCTCATGGCTGGCTGACGGATCTGGCTGCTTCATGGCCGGCTGACGGATCTGGCTGCTCATGGCTGGACGGCTCTGGCGGATCCTGGGCTGGCGAAGGCTCTGGCTGATCCTGTCTGGCAGAAGGCTCTGGCTGATCCCGTCTGGCGGGAAGGCTCTGGCTGATCCGTCTGGCGGAAGGCTCTGGCTGATCCCGTCTGGCGGAAGGCTCTGGTGATCCTGTCTGGGGACGGCTCTGGCTGGACAGGGCTGACGACGCACCCCGTAGGCTCGGGGCGTTGAGCCGGGACAGGCAAACCGCACTGGGGACACACACCCCTGGCCCTACACGGGGACAGGAACGGGCCGGAACGGACTGGGAAAACCCCCCCCAGTACCTCTCGCCGTGCCTCCACACTTTCCATCCCCTTCGTAACCAGTGGCCCCCCTTAAACTGGCGGCCATATCTGCCAACCTCTTGCACTCCTCCGGGCCGTACAACCTCTTCTGCCCCGACGTCGTGAGCCCCCCCCTAAAAATTTTCTGGGGGTCTCTCCTCTCGGTGGACCAGGCCTCCATAGTTCCTCTCCAACCTTCGCTCTTCTGGCTCCACCACCCGTTATCCAACTGCTGCTGGTCTCGTTGTGGTGGGTTTTCTGTCACGATCGCCAATAAAGTAGGACCAAAGCGCCGCGTTGGGAGTGAACATGATGACTTTAATGTAGAAATAACGACAAGACAAAACAAAACACGATCCGTAACGTCCTCAGTACACCGACTGAACATAGAACAAAAACCCCACAACTAACACAAGAAAACCTACATCTTAAATATGGCTTCCCAATCAGAGATAACGAGCCGACAGCTGACACTCGTTACCTCCGATTGGGGAGTCATTGAATACAAACCAGGAAACACAACCACAACCTAGAAATAGACACAACAGAACTCCCCACCTAGAAATAAACGTGACAGACATGCAACCATAAAACATCACCCAAAACCCAACAAAACAACATACACCCTGGCTCAAATACACAAGTCCTGGAGCCAGAGTGTGACAATTTTATTGTTGGCCATGTCCATTTGTAAGGATAAGATGTCATGTTTAAGGTACCTTTCAATGAGTTTTTCCATGTGGCTTACTTTATATTGCTCTGGCATGTGCTCTCTTCAAAACACAACAACATTCTCCATGGTAACATATTTACAGCAAATGTTAATAAATGACAAAACAGTGAACAATGGTATAGTGTTAGTACATTGGTGAGTATGATGCTGTTTCTCTCACAGCTTCTCTAAACTTCTACTTTCTTGTATTTGGTTCTCAGTGTTCTCTGACATTTGTTAACAGTTCTCTGACAGTTGTTAACAGTTCTCTGACAGTTGTTAACAGTTCTCTGACAGTTGTTAACAGTTCTCTGACATTTGTTAACAGTTCTCTGACAGTTGTTAACAGTTCTCTTACAGTTCTCTGACAGTTCATAACAGTTGTTAACAGTTCATAACAGTTGTTAACAGTTCTCTTACAGTTCTCTGACAGTTCATAACAGTTGTTAACAGTTCGTAACAGTTGTTAACAGTTCTCTCATACCTCCGGGTCCAGGCTAACAATAACAAGAGGCTCCACCGTTTTTCTCCCGTTGATATGGCCAGGGGTTTGAAGTAGGAGAACACAGGGCTCTGTGAACGTGGCGTCTGAGAATGTGAACAGGTGACTCATATCCCCTGCGTCGTAAAACACCACAACACCCCTCCCGTAGTCCAGGTACACCCCTACCCTCCTGGAGGGGTGAGGGGGGTGTAGCAGGCTCTCCTCGTGGTTGGTCAAACGTTCTGAGAGACGGAGAGAGAGAGAGAGATAGAGAGAGACAGAGAGTTTCATTTACCTAGAAAGGCCTGTTTCTGAGTCTTTATCTAATTTACAAAGTACCCTTATAGAACAAATAAAGATGAATTAAACACTGTGTTCATTCAATCATGTGGAGTCATGTGGATGTTGCAGAGCTCTATGAACCGTAGCATCAAATAACAGCCATGGATTTGATGACTTACCCTCCAATAAAATCTTTGATTCCCTGAAAGAAATAACAACAGAGATATGAGGCCATGCTGAGCCACACTCTTCTTCTCCAACTCAGAAACCTTCTAACCGCTCCTCTTTCCTTTCCATCACCAACCACACACACTTAAAACCTTCCTCCATCCTCTAAATCCAGATTCCTATATTCTCTCTCCATTACAGTCCTCCCCCTTTCCCCTTTTCTCCTCCCTCTCTCCCGCCTTCTTCCTCCCCTCTCCGGTCCTTTCCCCTCTCGCGCATCTCGTCGCCGTCTCGTATCTCCTCCCTCCCCGTTCTCTCTCCCCTCTCCTCCTCTCGCCTCCTTCTCTCCCTCCTTCCCCTCCTCCCCCCGCCTCTCTCCTCTCCGTTCCTCCTCCTCCGCATCCATCTCTCTCCTCCCCTCTCCTCTCCTCTCCTCTCCTCCCTCCTCTCTCCTCCTCGCTCTCTTTCTCCTCCCCCTTTCCTTCCCCTTGGCCTTTCTCCTCCCCTTTTTTTCCTTCTCTTTCCTTTCCCCTTTTGTTTCCTCCTCCAATTACCTCCCGTCTCCTCCCACTCCGCGTCCTCCCCGGGGGAAAATCCCCTCCCTCTCATCCCTGGTCCTCTCGCCTCCCCTGGACCAAAAGTGGGGCCTTAGAAACTCGGGCTCCATGCTTCATGGTGCCACGTCCTCCCTCCGGGGGACGCTTTTCCCCCCCCCCCCCCCCCCTTCGTTTCCCCCCCCTCGCCCCCGGGCCCCTTTTTTTCCCCCCTCCCTTCCCCTTCCCGCCTCCCCCCCCCCCCCCTTTTGCCGGCCCCCTCTCGTTTCCCCCCCCCCTTTGCCCTCCTTCTCCCCTCTCCCTTTCCCCCCTTTTTCCCCTCCTCCCCCCCCTTTTCCCCCCCTTCCTTTTCCCCTTTTTTTTCCCCCCTTTTTTTCCTCCCCCTTTTTGTGGGGGCCCCTTTTTGGGGTTTGTTGGAGCTGTTGGGGTTTGCTCAATTGGTGTTTACCCTGTTTGGGTTTTTTGGGGCCTCCCCCTTTTACCTTTTTTTTTTTACTCCTCCCTCTCCCCCTCCCCCCCCCTTTTAAAAACCCCCCTTTTTTTGGGGGGGCCCCCGCCCCCCTTTTTTTGCCCCCCGTGCCCCCGGGGGGGAAAAAAAATAAAGGGTTTCCCCCGGGTTTTAAACACAAAACTGAGCCCCGGTTTTTTGGGGGGGGATGGGCTAAAAAAATTTTTTAAAACCAAGATAACCAAAAAACCCCCCTTTAAAAAAAGGGGGCCCAAGGGGGAACGCGGAAAAACAAAAAACAAAATCCGAAAAAAAAAAACCCCCCCAAATTAAAAATTTTTTCTAAAAAGATTTTATTTTTTTAAAAAAAAAAAACCCCCCCCCCTTTTCCCCCTCCCCCCCCCCCCCCGGGGGGCCCCCCCCCCCCCCCCCCCCCCCCCCCCCCCCCCCCTGGTTCGGGGTGGGGGGTCCCCCCCGGGGGGGGGGGGGGCTGTTAAGGGGGGGAAAAACGGGGGCCCGGCGGTGATTTTGACTGGGGGGGGGGGGTATGGTTGGTTGGGTTTGGGGGGGGGGGGGAAAAGGGAGAGGGGGGGAAAAAAAAAGGGAAAACGGAAAAGGGGGTGAGGGAAACAAGGGACCCCCCCGGGGAAAAACTTTTTGGGGGGGGAGCCCGGGGAGGGGTAAAGGGCCCGGGGAAAGGAGGGAGGGGGGGAGGGGAAAGAAAAAAAATTGAGGGGAAAAAATTTAAAAAAAAAGCCCAAAAAAAATATTAAGAAGAAAAAAAAAAAAAAAAAAAAAAAAAGGGAAAAAAAAACCAAAAAAAAGGGAAAAAAGGGGAAAAAAAAAAAGGAAAGGAAAGAAAAAAAGAAAAAAAAAAAAGGAAAAAGGGGAAAAAAAAAAAGGGAAAAAAAAGGGGAAAAAAGGGAAAAAAAAAGGGGAAAAATTAAGAAAAGAGGGGAAAAGGGAAGGGAAGAGGGGGAAAAGAAAAAAAAAAGGAAAAAAAACCCGGGGCAGAGGAAGGAGGGAGGAAAAGGGGAGAGGGGAAAAAAAGGGGGGAAAAAGGACGGGAAGAGAAGGAAGACGGGGGAAGGAAGAGAAAAAGGGGGAAGAAAAGGGGAAGAAGGGGGGAGAGAAGGAAAAAAAAGGGGGAAAAAAGGGAAAGGAGAAGATGGGAAAAAAAGGGCCAAAAAAGGGGAAAACCCCCTAGCGACTCTCCCCTAACCTTTCCTCCTCCTCGCCTCCTTCCTCCTCCTCTCTCCATCCCTCTCTCTCTCCTCCTCCCCTCTCGCCTCTATTCCTCCTTTCGTCTCCCTTCTCCTCTCTCTCCTTTCCCTCCTCTCTCTCCCTCCTCCGTCTCCTCTCCTCTCTCCTCTCCTTCTCCTGCCTCCTTTCCTCCTCCTCTCTCTCCTCTCACCCTGAGTGTGCCGGGTACTCCTCCTCTTGGAGTTTGATGTGGAGCTGTTCGGCGGTTTGCTCTAATTGGCTGATTTGCTCTGTGGTTGTGTTTGAGGGCCTCCTCCAATTGGTTGAGCCTCTCTTCCTTCTCCCTCCGCACTCGCTCCTTCACTCTCTCTCCCCTTTGGAGAAGGAACTCCCTCAGACGTCCAACTCTGCACCCCACCTGTTTCCTCTATGTCCCCAGCTCGCTCCTGATGTGGGGAGGGACAGAGAAAAATATCAGTGTTACCGACTGGGTATGGAATCATCTAAGAGACTTTGTTAGCCCACTGAGCTTTAGTCATGGTGATAGAGCTAAAACAAGTTTTTATTTTATTTAACCTTAATGATACGAGTCCATTAAGACCAATTCCTATTTACAATGACGGGCTTTCCAAGGCGGAGACAGCAGTGATTATAGAACAATAAAAAACAAAGACATCACGAAACACAAAACAGACACACAGCACCCCTTTTCATATCCACTAAAACCCCTTTCCTCCTCTCTAAAATCCAGATTTCCTTACTTAGTCTCTCTCCATTACAGTCCCTCTCATCCTTTCCCTCCCCCCCTCCCTCCCCACCCTGCCGCGTCATCGCCTCTCCTTTCCCCCCCTCCTCCCCCCTTTCTTTTCCTCCTCCTCTCCTTCTTCCCCCCGCCTCATCTGCCCTATTGTCCTGGCCCCCTTTCCTTTCCCCTCCTCTCTTCTCCTCCTCTCTGCCTCTCCTCTCCTCTCCTCCCTCCTCCTAATCTCCTCACTAATCTCTCGCCTCTACTTTTCCTCCTCCTCTCTCCTACTCCTCCTCAATCTTCTACTCCTCTCCTCCTCCTCTCTCGCCTCTCCATCTCCTCCTCTTCTCGCCTCTCACCTTTCCTCATTCCTCATCGCATTTCCTCCTCCTCTTCTCTCACTCCCTCCCTCTCTCGCCTTCTCCTTTCCTCCTCCTCTCCTCTCCTCCTCCTCTCTCGCCTCTCCTTTCCTCCTCCTCTCTCTCCTCTCACCCTGAGTTGTGCCGGGTACTCCTCCTCTTGGAGTTTGATGTGGAGCTGTTCGGCGGTTTGCTCTAATTGGCTGATTTGCTCTGTGGTGTGTTTGAGGGCCTCCTCCAATTGGTTGAGCCTCTCTTCCTTCTCCCTCCGCACTCGCTCCTTCACTCTCTCCTCCTGGAGAAGGAACTCCCTCAGACGTCCAAACTCTGCACTCACCTGCTCCTCTATGTCCCCAGCTCGCTCCTGATGTGGGGAGGGACAGAGAAAAATATCAGTGTTACCGACTGGGTATGGAATACATCTAAGAGACGTTGTTAGCCCACTGAGCTTTAGTCATGGTGATAGAGCTAAAACAAGTTTTTATTTTATTTAACCTTTAATGATACGAGTCCATTAAGAACCAATTCCTATTTACAATGACGGGCTTTCCAGAGGCGGAGACAGCAGTGATTATAGAACAATAAAAAAACAAAGACATCACGAAACACAAAACAGACACACATGGCAACATTTCAATCAATGATAATGTAAGGAGGAGAGAAATGCAGTGTTCCGTTAAAATCTCAGTCAGTTTACTGAAAAGAGTCAAAAGAAAAGGTCACCTCACAGGAACACCTAACCACCTCCGCTACATACACACACACGCACGCACACGCACGCACGCACACACACACGCACGCACGCACACGCACGCACACACACACACACACACACACGCACGCACACACACAAACATTTAATGGCTAGATTGTTGACACACATCCTTACTCATTTCCTGTGCCCCACAGAGAGACAGAGAGACAGAGGGCAGTGAAAGATCAAGTGATTGGCAGACAGTAAGTTTGTCAGCGTGTGACAAACAAGCAGACACATAGACACGCAGGGCATTCCTCCTTAATGGGGCCCACATGACTGTGCTGTGCTCATCTTAAAGGTAGGACTCCCTGACATCCTGCTCATTCTGTATCTGCCTCAAACACATGTACACTGTATAACCAGCACATCTTTTATTGACTTTACCTTGGGAGAGGGAGAGTCCCGGGCCCATCCTAAATTCTAGCATTGACCTTATCCCTGCTTAGTGCTAACTAAGGCCGGTATTTTACCTCATTCTCGTGGTGTGTGCTTACATTAGGTGTGTGAGAATGTGTGTGTGTGTTTATGTGTGTGTGTGTGTCTGCAATGTCTCTGAGAGGAAGAATGGGTAAACACTAATCCCATAATCTGTATAATAATCTCAGAGTGCCACTGTGCATTAGACATTCCCAACAGTCCAATATTTGATGTGACACCTGACAACATAATTGTATTGACAAAGCCTTTATAATTAAACTCATTTGCATGTGCTTGGGTGAGACAACGCAGGAGAATGTTGCATGGCCAACAGAAATTCTGGTTCAGACTAAGGGATGACGGGCAATGCAAACCAGAAGCCTCTCGCTGACGCACACACACGCAGTCAGTATACCTTGATGAGCATGATCTTGTTGTTGGTCTGGACATTTACATTTTAGTCATTTAGCAGACGCTCTTATCCAGAGCGACTTACAGTTAGTGAATACATATATATATTTTTTTATACTGGCCCCCCGTGGGAATTGAACCCACAACCCTGGCGTTGCAAACGCCATGCTCTATCAACTGAGCTACATCCCTGCCGGCCATTCCCTCCCCTACCCTGGATGACGCTGGGCCAATTGTGCGCCACCCATGAGTCTCCCGGTCGCGGCCGGCTGCGACAGAGCCTGGATTCGAACCAGGATCTCTAGTGGCACAGTTAGCACTGCGATGCAGTGCCTTAGACCACTGCGCCACTCAGGAGTCTGGACCTGATGGAGAGAAGCCTGTCCTGTCTGGAGCTGTCCTCCAGGGCTATGGACACATTCCAATGCACCAGGTCCCTGTGACAGTGATATTATTAACCCATATGTATTTCTATAGCAAAACACCTATATAGGTAGACACATAAATACAAAATATTGTCCAAAGTGTTACCTTGTAGTTCTCGAACGCCTCGTTGATGGGGATGACGTTGTGCGTCTTGTGGCCTCGGGACATCCCGCACACCAGGCAGATCGCGAGCTGATCATCCTCACAGTATAGCTTCAGCTTCTCCTCGTGCTTCTCGCACAGGTCTGGCTCGTGGCGCTGTGAAGAACCGGTGAAACTGAAACCGGAGCTGGGCATACTGGCCCCCTTCGTCGTTCTTCTGTATCCTCCTGCGCGCGCTCCGGGTCCCCGGGTTTCCCATCCATGGATCGGGCTCTCCTCACGGTGTCCACAACGTTACACAGAAGCGAGTTGGGACGCAACTTCTGAGGGCATGTCTTCCGGAACTGCGGGCAGGTTTGGTGCTCGTCGTACTTGCTCTCCCAGCACTGCGTAATGCACACACGACATAAGTGGTGTCCGCACTCGAGAATCACCGGCTCACGGAAGAGCTCGAGGCATACGGGACAGGTGTGCAGCTCCTTGAGGAGCTATGTAGCTCCTCAAGCGAGCTGGCGTCAGTAGCCATTCCGAGCCGTCTGCTCACTGAAGGGACAGGGGGCTGCGCTCAGTGGAAAGTTCACTCTTCCGTATTTGAGAGGGCGTGGTATGTATGAACTGACAGCGTCTGAGTTCCTCTGTTTTCACGGAAGAGGGTGAAGACATGCTTCTACAAGTCCACAGATCCCGCGGGCAGCCGCGTAGTGAACCAGGTATCTCTCTGGCCCAGTTTCCTTTAGGCTCCTAGCTCCTACTTCTATAAATCCCTCAAGCGTTCATACATCTAAAAAGGACTGGATAGTTGAAATGGAGCCTCTGGGCTATAGGAGTTGCCTAAATGTAGTGTAACTGTAATGTATGTAAGTGTGTCCATCGGTGAAAGTAGATTTCATTTCTTACGGGTATGGGACACCCAAGTGCGCGCACACATGTTTTTTTTTTTATAGCCTAGGGGTGTAATCATATAATTACATATAGTATCCCTATTAATTTAATATATGATCTCCGTGGTCCTAGTAGCCTAGGCCAGGTAAAGATTTGTCATATAACTTTTAACGTGCAATACCTTTTAGCATAGGCGGCGCGTGGGTTTCAAGTTTTGGGAAGCTCATTTTCACCATAAACATGCACCTTTATAATAAAGCATTCCATGCATTTTCGCATTTGCAGACTTATGTAAGATAGCTTACTATGCCTAATGTGATGATTAGATTGGATAGTCATAATTTAGGATAATAATATAACTCAATCACTGTTCGCAAAAAAGACTGTTCAATGCAGCGCGTAGTGGCGTAGAGTAGGCCTAGGCTAAAGGCCTATCAGATACATTTCTTGTTGGCCTTTTATCAACACATGTCATGCTATTCTGCTACACTTTATATGATTGGAGACGTTAGCAGAATATTTTTTAATACTACAAAAATTACAAGTTAGCCTACACTGCCGACACTGACAAATACAATATGTTATCCATAACCAAAAACAAACTAAAGTGGCACTGACCCAATGCTAAAGACTGTGAATGTGCACACTCACCGGGGATATGGCCGATGTTCTCCACTGGTGCCAATAAGATAGGCTAATGTTCGCTCAATTAAGTTAAAATACAGATTGGGGTGTTTTCATTGTCATATTTTTTTTTTTTTTTTTTTTTTTACAGCAATAGCCATTTGCTTTCCAAACGGGTTTTCCGCAATTGTATTTTTAAATATTGCGATATGCCTGGCTGTGTCGTTAAGAAGCTAATTGTCCTCTGTGGCCAAATCATGCTTTCTGGTATAGTAGCCTATTGTAAATGTTTTTGTGTGTGTATAGACAGGTGTAAGCTAATTAGGCTATATAATTTTGCCAATAATTTACTATAGGGAAAGCTTCCCCTATCCTTATGGTCGCGCCGCGGATGCAAATGTGGCATAAACACAACCAGTCATGTTAATATCTGATTGTCAAACAATCACTTAACAAAGGCATTGCTGTAGGCTACCTGCGCACATTCGTCCACTCACAAAATAATTCCAGCACCCAAACCCCAACAGTGCACTTGTAGCCTGAATCGCATCCACAGTTTTTTTTCAATAATAATGTATTTTATGAGGTATTTTGTGTTAATTGCAATAGGCTCACGTTTTACCTGTACGGCTTACCCCCATTATTTATTTTGTCAGTACGCTGTACCAGCTTACTTTCACCCCTGAGTGTGTCAGATGAGTCTGTGACTAGGCTTTAAACCAGGTGTTGTCCTGAGGGTTCGAAACATACCAGAACACTGCCTTGAAAAGCCGAGGCTGGTAAATGAGTCAGCACTCTGAATAAATACTTTTTGAGGAAGGAGAAGGGAAACTGATAACGCATAAACATACTTGAACCTTAACCTATATCCATCAGTAGTATGTCAGCAGCTTTCTATTCCACCGAGGGGGAACGGGGAAATACCTATGGGTTTTCAAATGAAACCTGCTCTCTGTCACATTTTGGGTGCCAGTAACTCTAGTTTCATTCAGTCAGCTCAGTTTCAGTGACATGTGTAGATTTAATGCAGAGGCTTTTTCCATTTCTGTTCCAATGAGAACCTCTATCAGGACAACCTGTCACTCCAATGGTAAAAAAAAGGGTAGTGACCATGTGTGTCCCAGAAGTGCTGTATATTTCCCAGAAGACACTATAGTCAGCAGGGGGAAGTTCAGTTGCATCTCAAGGAAACAGAAGGGGAGGAGAGGAGTCAGATGAAGGTGTCACCCTCTGAGTTTCTGCTCACTGGGTATAAAAGACCTCGGAAGCAAGGTTGATAGAAGACCACTCTCCATCAATTACACAGGTGACTCAACAGACAGTGAACAGAAGAGTAGGGCTCTCTGTAGAGAACTGAACTGAGTTGGCCAGGAGTGGACTGAGCTAGACTACATTGGACGACAGTCTGTGACTAGTTTCGGCTGAGAGATACACAGGCTTTCTCTATAACACACACAGTCCAGTGCTCAGCAGGAGGATGCCTGTCTCATGTAGGGGGGCTCTGCTCATGCTTCTAGCCAGTCTTGGAGGTCTGATCTGGGGGGAGGTGGGTGACTTCACCCCTTGCCTCTGTTTCTTCTACATGGAGACTCCCCCAAAAGGCATGGGGGGAGAGGGGTACCAGCCAATCTGCCAGCGCTACAGGAACCAGTACCACTTTGCCAGCCTGTACCAGCGCCAGCGCCGTGCCACCCTCTACTCTGCCTACATACTTACCCCTGGAGGAGGCAAACGGCCCAGGAACAAGTGGATGTATGAACCACAGGTGAGGAGTATGTCTCTGTGTGTAACGTAACTGTGTATTCAATTCAGGGTCTATTCCATTTGATTCTACTCAATTCAAGAAAAAATACTATTTATGGTGTGCGTGTGTGTGTGTAGGTGTGGATGTGGGTTTGTGTGAAGCCAGCAGTTCTTAGAAAAGTGGTTAAGCGGCGTGACTTCTCTCAACCAAAGCAATTCATCTGGGAAATATTCTGTTTCTGTTTCTCTTTTTAAACTTAAACCACTATCTAGTGATTTCCAGGAACAAAAAGACTGGATCATAATTGAAGCTCGGAAGCTCTGTTTATGTTTTTATTTTCTTATACCCAACAGCTCAGAGTAATTACCAGTGGTAGAATTGGTTATTACAATGCAATAAGCACTGTAAAAAGATGGGGGGAAAACATGTATAAACATATAGGTTGAACCATCTTTCTCTCTGTGTCGGTTATAGTCTCAGTGTTCCCTCTCTCTGTGTTCTAAGTTGGCATTCTCCGGTGCCAGTCCAGAGATGCATAGTTTCCCGCGGCATGGCTCCGTGGACCAGAACGTGGTGGAGAGCCAGGCGGTGCTCCAGGACTACAACAGCTCCTCCTACACCAAGGGTCACCTCAACCCCAGCCTGCACCACCAGGCCCCAGAGGACCGCCGGGCCACCTTCACCCTCACCAACGTGGTTCCTCAGCGGGCAGCCTCAAACTCTGGCCCCTGGGCTCAGCTGGAGGCTGAGGTGAGGGCCCGGATGGGTAACTACTGCATTGGGCCAGCGTATGTGGTAACAGGGGTGCTGCCATACCTCTCTGAGCGCTGGATGGCCAACCGGGTGGCGGTGCCAGAGTACATGTGGTCTGCCTACTGCTGCCCCTCCTACAACTCTAGTCTCCCCACCTCACGGAGACCCTACTTCCCATCATATGCCGCTGTGGGCCGCAACGACCCCCATAGTGGAGGAGAGATTGTACCGGTGGACCCCCAGGCGAAGGCCTCTGTTCGGGGGTACGATGTGAGGTGGATGCCCCTGGACACTGTGGAGACTATTCTACAGCAGAGACTGGGTGTCCACATCAGCCTGTTTCACAATCAATGTTTGTGAGCAGGTGTGGTAGTTACGTAATGGGCTGTTGTATGGGCTGTCCCTATTCAGTGAAAAATAAAATGCTACAGTGGAACATAATATATTTGGTGATTTAAGATCTTTGAACTAGTTTGCAGACCAGTCACAGCACACACAGACACACACACAGACACAGACACACACACACATACACACACACACACACACACACACACACACACACACACACACACACACACACACACACACACACACACACACACACACAGTCTTGTACAACTAACCTTGTGGGGACACACAATTCAGTCCCATTCAAAATCCTATTTTCCCTAACCCTAAACCTAAACCTAACCCGTACCCTAACCCGTACCCGTACCCTTACCCTAACCTTAACCTTAACCCTAACCCAAAAACCTAACCTTAACCCTAACTGTAAACCTAACCCTAGCTCCTAACCCTAACCCTAAAACTAACCCTAGTTCCTAACCCTAAACCTAATTCTAACCCTAACACTAATTCTAACCTTAAACCTAAACCCCCTAGAAATTTTTGTTTGGTTTCTATTCTTGTGGGGACTTCTGGTCCCCACAAGTATAGTTAAACACGTACACAGACACAGACACACACACACACACACACACACACACACACACACACACACACACACACACACACACACACACACACACACACACACACACACACACACACACACACACACACACACACACACACACACACACACGCACGCACACACACACACACACACAAGATACATAAATATATGATAACAATTGCATATTCCACACACTGCTAACAGATTTCTATAATTTGAAAAAACAACAACAAATATGGAACTATTCAGCTATTCAATTTCAATAATCCTCCTAGAGATAAAAACAACAGATTCTGTGTATCAGCTAACAAACAGTCAAACTCCTAAACTACAATAACCAATTTAGAATAAACAAATAAAAACTCCCTCAACACAGAACTTCCCAAACCCCAAACTGTGAATGGAATCGTCTCCAAATACAAATGAAACCTTGCTCACGTGTTGTGCAGCATCTGTGTGTCAAGGTCATTAATAAATGCTGATTAATAAATGCTGAAAATCCTCCCATAGATATCTCTGTTGTGAATCTGGTTGTGACTGGAAAAAAAATTCCATTGTCAAGGCAGCACTTCCTAAGATTGTCAGACCAGGACTGGCACACTCGGTCACCTGAGTAGCTCCGCAGGTGTAAGATGAGCTGAGTAAACACTAAACACTCAACTGGTTCTTCCTGACGTTATACATTTTAAATAATAGTAAAAAAAATTGCAACATACAAACAACAAATCAACAGTATATGAGACAAGGTCCTTTATGAACATGCCCGATCTGGTTATTTCTGTGTGTGTGAGTTCCAGTTGGCTTTAAAGAAAAATAATTGCACTGGTCAAATAGCATTGGGTCCTTTCATAGTAAATCAACCTGGCAAGAAACAGGCACATCTTACAGCAGAAAGAGCACTGGTAAATTCTCCTGGGCCGTTGGACAACCCTGTGGGTGGCCAGACACCTACGTGACCGGAATGTTTTCCCAGTCAGAACAGAGATGCCCCATCCCAACCCAATCCAGGCACCTGCCTCTCCTCTGGCCCAGCTCTTCAACTAAGGTCCACATCATGTCTGTGTCAGTCTCACTGTCAGTGTCGCTCTGTCCAGATATGCTTTTCATGACTATGTACAGGTGTCTGTCAATGTCAATGTCTGTAGCCATGTGAACACACTTCTCCTCCTTGATCTTACAGTCCATCCCAGCGTGTGTGTATGAGTGTGTTTTGGATTGTGTGTGTACAGAAGCGGGCACTGGTTCTGTAGGGAGAGAGAGGGTACATAAAGTTAGTGTGTAGTAGTGTTATTGGTCAGAGGAAGGCCCTAAAAATTGTCAAAGACTCCAGCCGACTGAAGTCACAGTCTGTTCTCTCTGCTACCGCACGGCAAGCGGTAGCCTACCGGAGCGTCAAGTCTGGGACCAAAAGGCTCCTGAACAGCTTCTACCCCAAAGCCTTAAGACTGCTGAACAGTTCATTAAACGGCTACCCATTTCTTTTTCTGGGGGTAAGAGAGGGCAGTCCATAACCTGTTCATTGTCGCTAGGCTCCCCTGAAACCACTGATCTACAGGGAGGGAGGGAGATGAGGAGGGGAAAGTATCAATTTGACTAGATTGATTAGAAGTTCATTAGGATGACTCCTGTCCAAACTGGTGCATGTGCATCCTTGAGTAGCCATCAGGCCCAATCTCACAAAATAAATCTGAAATAGAGATGTATTTGATTCTTTAAAGCTGCAATGCAAGAAATGTACGTTTTGATTGAATAGCCTCTGTAATGAGAGTGACCCACTGGGTACAAACGTCATTTTTCATCTAGTTTCGATTTACATGTGGAGTTGTCAACTAACGTTAATTCAATGTCACCATGTCATTGGATTTAGGTTAAAAGTTAGGTGAAAAACAGATGAAATTCTCTTTAGTTGATGACTTGATTGCAAATCCAATCAGTTTTCCACATTGATTCAATGTCATCACATAATTTTTTTTGGTTGAAATGGTAGTGGTTTCAAGTTTCTCTGGTAGTGGTTACACTGTTACAACTACTTTGCTGGCATGATGTTTGGTTCAGCTGTTCATGCCACTGCATCACCAGGGGCGTCACGCACCCCAAAAATCTGAGGGGGCACAAAGAACGTGAGGATGGCTGGAGGGTGGCCCGGAGGGGGTCTAGTCCCCCAGTCAATAAATTGGAGAATTTTGCATTTTTCAAACACCTGAAACACCTTTTTCCTGCAATCTAGAGCCATAATCATTACGCTTAACTAGAATCAATGTCCACGTCCCCGCAGAAATCTAATTAGCATAATACAAAATTGCCAATAAAATTCTGTCTGTTTAAGATAGAGATATCCGTTTTTTTGCAATCCACCGCATCCACCGATATCGGCCTTCCACATCTTCAGTGAAAGGTGGCAGAAATACAGCGGTCTTTGTCAGACCATGAGACATCCCGAAAATCGGTCTTCTCACAAAACCGTCCGAACGGTTTGGCCTAGAAACTATTATGACCCATCTATGGAAAGATGAGACTCTCACAAACATGGTGTTGGTGTTGCTCTACGACCCCACAACCCCCCCACGGGACACGTCTGAAGTCGGCACCGCCGATCTGCCAACTTCTGTCTGTAGCGTCTGAACAGTTTGGGCTACACACTAATATTTGACCCATCTATGGAACGGTGAGAGTCTCACGAGCCTCACAAGCCTCAAAAGACTTGTACGAAGGTAGCCTGGAACCAGTAAAAAAAATGATTGGAAGCAAACAGTGCATTTGGAAAGTATTCAGACCCCTTGACTTTTCCCACATTTTTCCCCCATCATCAATCTACACACAATACCACATAACGACAACGCAAAAACAGGTTTTTAGAAATGTTTGCAAATGTATAACAAAACCCCGGAAATATTCAATTTAAATAAGTATTCAGACCCTTTACTCAGTACTTTGTTGAAGCACCTTTGGCAGCGATTACAGTCTCGAGTCTTCTTGGGTATGACGCTACAAGCTTGGCACACCTGTATTTGGGGAGTTTCTCCCATTCTTCTCTACAGATCCTCTCAAGCTCTGTCAGGGTGGATGGGGAGCGTCGCTGCACAGCTACACTACCAGTCAACAGTTTTAGAACTACTCATTCAAGGCTTTTTCTTTATTTTTACTATTTTCTACATTGTAGAATAATAGTGAAGACATCAAAACTATGAAATAACACATATGGAATCATGTAGTAACCAAAAAAGTGTTAAAAAATCTAAATATATACTTCAAATAGCCACCCTTTGCTTTGATGACAGCTTTGCACACTCTTGGCATTCTCTCACCCAGCTTCATGAGGTAGTCACCTGGAATGCATTTCAATTAACAGGTGTGAATTCTTAAAAGCTCATTTGTGGAATTTCTTTCCTTCTTAATGCGTTTGAGCCAATCAGTTGAGTTGTGACAAGGTAAAGGGGATACAGAAGATAGCCTTATTTGGTAAAAGACCAAGTCCATATTATGGCAAGAACAGCTCAAATTAGCAAAGAGAAACGACAGTCCATCCTTACTTTAAGACATGAAGGTCAGTCAATACAGAACATTTAAAGAACTTTGAAAGTTTCTTCAAGTGCAGTCTCAAAAACCATCAAGCTCTATGATGAAACTGGCTCTCATGAGGACCGCCACAGGAATGGAAGACCCAGAGTTACGTCTGCTGCAGAGGATAAGTTCATTAGAGTTACCAGCCTCAGAAATTGCAGCCCAAATAAATGCTTCACAGAGTTCAAGTAACAGACACATCTCAACATCAATTGTTCAGAGGAGACTGCGTGAATCAGGCCTTCATGGTGTGAGGACGTCCCACCTGGGTGAGCGTGACGGGCTGGCAGAGGCATGGGCGCCGGACGAGCCGGCCGAGACATGGGGACCTGTCGAGCCTGACGGGCTGGCCAAGGCGTTGGAGCCTGACGAGCCGGCTGAGGCGTGGAAGCCTGAGGAGCCGGCTGAGGCGTGGAAGCCTGACAAGCCGGCTGAGGCGTGGAAGCCTGACGAGCCGGCTGAGGCTTGGGAGCCTGACGAGCCGGCTGAGGCGTGGAAGCCTGACGAGCAAGCTGAGGCACCCCCGGTTCCTTTGGCCGCCTCACCCGGACCCGACGTCACCAACCCCAACAAAAACAGAACTTCATGATGCTTCCAATTCTGGTGTCAACATTGTAGACTGGTGGAAATGTGTCCTTTGGTCTGGAGTCCAAATTGGAGATTTTGTTCCAACTGCCGTGTCTTTGTGGGTGAACGGATGATCTCCGCATGGTTGCTCTCTCCCTCCCTCCTCCCAGTGTCACTCGGTCACAATACGCCCCCTCCCCTGCCTGCTAGAGCGGCCCCTCTCTCTCCTGCTTTATCAGCTCTGGTTAAAAATGATTTTCCTGTTGCTTCCCTCACTCGGATCTATACGGAACGGGTGTAGTTGTCCTCAGGTCCGTTCAGAACGGGTCTCTATATAAACAAATAATTTATGCAGATCGGATCCGGGTGGGAAAGCCCCAAGTCCATTGCGGAACGGGTTCCAACTTTTTGGACCCGTGAAGACCTCTACCTCAATGGCAATGTCCGTGCTAAAATGAGTTATATCCATAATGAGTCCTCCATCTATCTCTACGACAACAGGCACAACTCTGATAGTCTTTGTGTGTGCCAAAGTTGCCGAAATGCCCTGTGCGTTCATTTACATCTGTGCATTCATAACAACCTAACCATTACGAAACTTCTATTCGATCAAATAAGCCTCACATAGCAAATGAGCAATAAAAAAATGTGTGTACCAAATTCGACACTCATTGACCTCCATACAAAAATTCCTCACTTTGTGGGCTTATTTTTGTGGACAGATTTTGGGCGGAGTAAAACCTCTCGCGTCGCCGCTTCCTCTCTGGTAGAAGACACTTCGAAGTACTCAGAAATAGAAAAATGTGTCCGGAAATCCGACAACACCTTGTGTGAATGTTTGAGACATAACTAAACTACACAATTTTCTAGCTGAAAACAAACATTTAGCACATGACAGTATGAGAGGATTGACATTATATAAAAGGAGACCATTGGTCACTGAATAGTAAATTTTTTATTCCTGATGGATAATACAGAAAACAAACGAATAGTACAAAATACCAAATTGTTATAGTATGCACTCACTAACTGTAAGTCGCTCTGGATAAGAGCGTCTGCTAAATGACTAAAATGTAAATGTAAATGTTATTATCATTGATAAAGTCAAGATAAACAAGGCCATGATTGCTTTTCAGTGAAAATACTCATTTCTTGATGTAAAGACAATGTACATTTGAGAAACATAAATAAAAGCACAATTTTCTATATGTACAAGTAGATAGTTCATTTCAACCTTTCCCTGGATGACCACCATCATCTTTGTTCCACTTTTTTGGAGTATGTAGAATTTGTCCGCAACAACTGATACAAGGTCAGAGCTTTACAAATTTCTAATGGTCAACTTTGGGATTGAGGCTAGGGTTAAATGATCTTAGGTCGATCTTAATATGATCTTTATCTGGTTAGGAAGCAACTTCTACCGTGATCAGGAATTTCAACTTTCCCTTCCCAAAGAAACCATGGTAAATCTCAATTATCAAACGTATCAAAGGTTATAAAAAGCACTCGTGTTTTTTAAACTGCTCTGGTTCGCTGAAGCTCTTTCCACACTGGGAGCACTGGTGAGCGCTGCCGGCCTTGTCTCTGTCTCCACTGTGGATCAGCTGGTGTCTTTTCAGGTACTCTACCCTGCTGAAGCGCTTCCCGCACGCCTCGCACCCGTACGGACGCTCGCCTGTGTGGATCCGCTGGTGCCTCTCCAGGTTGCCTAGGCGACTGAAGCTCCTTCCGCACTGCTGGCAGCAGTGCTGCCTTTCTCCAGTGTGAACCACCTGGTGCCTCTCCAGCGAGCGAGAGTGTGTGAAGCCCTTCCCACAGAGCTCGCAGCGGTGGGGCCGTTCAGCCGCGCACACACACTCGTGGTTCTTTAGGGCCCAGGCATGGCTGAAGGCGTGGCCGCACGAGGCACAGGGGAACAGGGTGTTCTCTGTCCCTCCTTCCTGCAGGTGGGCGTCCCCCAGGGGGCAAGGGTGCTCTTCCAGCTCAGCCTCGTTGGCGAAGCCCCCGCCGCACTGCATGCAGAAATGCATCAGGTCCATCGTCTCCTCCTCACCACTGTCATCCACGCTACCCGAAGCAGACAGGGAGAGAGCATGTTGATGTAAGCCTTCGTCTGAGCCTCCCTGCTCCCCCATCCCCTCACCGTCCCTCAGTCTCTTGGGCCAGCGTGGCTGCAGCTCCCCTCCAGTCCACACTGGCAGTGCCTCCTGTCCTTCCTTCAGACGGGCACCATGAACCTGCAGGGAATCTCCATAGTCCCTCTCTGAGGCTGTGGGACTCCCCAGCTCCCCCTGTTCCAGCCCATCCAGACCAATGTACTTCTGGCCCAGGCTGAACTCACTGCCTGCCACTACTTCCGGGTCAGGGGTCATGGAGCCATGGTTGGAGCCTGCTGTGGGGGGGATCCTCAGGGCTGCCTGCTCGCGCCCCCTCTCTGCCCTCAGGGCCGTCTCCAGCCCACTCAGGTCCCCCCGGCTCAGCCCCCCCTCTGACACCTCAGTTGGAGGGGACCCCACGTCCCACTCCTCCTCCTCTTCAGGGCTCACGGCTGGGGGCCGCTTCAGGGCCACAGGGCTGAGCTCCATGTCTCCTACTGGGCAGAGAGAAGGAGAGTGAGAGTCTGTTAGAGGAGCAGTACTATGACGGTGTATGCAAACATAATGAACTGCAGACACTTAAGAAAATGTCACTGTGTTCACATTGGGGTTATCACTATCCAGGAGTTGTTGTCTTCATATTTTTGGTTCTGAGCTTTGAGCTGGAGTCAGTACCTTCGCTGTGGGTTCTGGATCCAGTATGGCAGTTCTGGTTGGGTAGGTCCATCTTCAGGGCTTCCTTGATCAGCCGCAGAGACGCAGGCTGGTAGCCCCCCTCCACCATGTCATCGGACTACAGACAGAGCAAAAATAATGACATTACCCACCAGTACAGCCCCATAGACTACACAATAATGCAATGCAGAGTGCACTAGCACACCCAGTATTTCTGTGCATGCAAAGTGCACTTTCACAAGTGCCACAAAGAACAAGGGTCCTGTTTTACACAGGGCATTTTCTGTAAACGTGCAAAGTTACAACAGTTTGAGATACAATAAATGTAATCTGTACATTGCATAGATGCATCCGAATGATCTCAGTCACGTAGAATACAAAACTGTGTTCGCTCCTAAAATTATATCAATGTCTAGTGTCTACAACGCTCCGAACTTAACATTGAGTGCCCTACTGAACAAGCGCTTGAGCTACTTCTGCACCTGAATATCAAATCAGTGGCTTTCCACCATCCCCACCATCTCCCAGACCACTGCTGCAGTGTCTGTTTCAGTGACTCAGAACACAGAAGTTTAACAACATTCTCAGTCTCACTACACACAGATGATACACAGTTATTTTTATAAACTAGTAGTCTCTGACACACTGAAGCTGTGTGTGCCACATTCAGACTCCTTAGCACTCCTCGTCTCCCTCACCTCCTCTTTGATGATGTCCGTCTCCTCCCCCTCTCCCGAGATACAGCCCTCCTCCAATAGTTCTCCTTCTTCCTCCTCCACAGGGAACTGGATGAGGTACATCTGGCGTGCCTCCTTCCAGCCTCCCCCCGCTACTTGCCCGGCTGCTGCTCCTCCTTCCTCCCACATGCCTCCAAATGCAGGCCCCAGCTTCTGCTTTCCTCCTGTGTAGGGGGAGAGAGGAAGAGAGGGGGGGGGGGGAGGAGGAGGGGGGGGCGAGCATGAAGGAGAGAGGAGGGAGGGCGAGAGGAGTTCGAGAGACAGAGGGGAGCAGTGATAGAAATGAAGGAGGGAGGAAGGGAAGCAGGGAGAGGAGGGGGGATGGCAGGGAGCAGGAGAAAGCATAAAGGAGAGGCGGGGGGAGAGGACATGATGAAGGAGAGGAGGCGGAGTAGGGAGCGGAAGAGGAGGGAGTGAGTGTGAAGGAGAGCGGAGGGGTGGGAGTGAAGAGGGAGGGAGAGCGGAGAGAGAAGTAGAGGTGGTGGTGGCAGGGGGGAGAGAGGGAGGGGAGAGGGCATGATGAAGAAGAGCAGAGAGGGAGGGAGAGAGAAGAGAGCGGAGAGGAGTGGGGGAGGTGAAGGACAGAGAGAGAAGATGAAGAGGAGTAGGTGGGGGAGGGAGAGCGGAGGAGTAGAGGAGAGGGAAGGAGAGGAAGGGGTGGGAGGGGAGCCGTGACAGCATGGAGTGGGAGAGAGCATAAAGGAGGGGAGGAGGAGGGAGAGAAAGCATGATGAAGGAGAGGAGGCGGAGCAGGGAGCGGAAGCAGGAGAGAGGAGGGGGTGGGGGTGAAGTGGAGGGGCGGGAGAAGTAGAGGAGGTGGGGGCAGGTAGAAGGAGATGGGGCAGGGAGTAGGAGGCAGGGAGTAGGAGAGAGAGGGGCAGGGAGAAGGAGGGAGGGGGGGCATGGAGAAGGAGTGAGGGGAGGCATGGGGAAGCAGAGAGGGGGGGCATGGAGAAGCAGGGGGGGGACAGGGAGAAGCAGAGAGGGGGGGCAGGGAGAAGCAGAGAGGGGGGGCAGGGAGAAGCAGAGAGGGGGGGCAGGGAGAAGCAGAGAGGGGGGCAGGGAGAAGCAGAGAGGGGGGCAGGGAGAAGCAGAGAGGGGGGGCAGGGAGAAGCAGAGAGGGGGGCAGGGAGAAGGAGAGAGGGGGCAGGGAGAAGGAGAGAGGGGGCAGGGAGAAGGAGAGAGGGGGGCAGGGAGAAGGAGAGAGGGGGGCAGGGAGAAAGAGAGAGGGGGGCAGGGAGAAAGAGAGAAGGGGGCAGGGAGAAAGAGAGAAGGGGGCAGGGAGAGGAGAGAGGGGGGAAGGGAGAAAGAGAGAGGGGGGCAGGGAGAAAGAGAGAGGGGGGCAGGGAGAAAGAGAGAGGGGGGAGGAGTGTGGGAGGTGAAGAACAGAGAGAACATGAAGAGGAGGTGGGGGAGGGAGAGTGGAGGAGTAGAAAGGAGCGGAGGGAGAAGGCTCAGTTTCTCCCTGATGGCTTCCAACATAACAAGTACCTCTTCACACAAGCATTACATGCTTTTAACTTAATGTTACACAAGTAATCAACTTGTGTTGATTTGATATGCAATTACATATCATTTCAACAATTATAATCTGATGAATATGATTTTTTATATCAGTTTTATACATAGGGCAAGACAAATGTACTTACTAAATATGAACACTTACGGAGCACTTCAATTTTTCGCTTTTTCCGCCCACCGTCCTCCGACCCTATCAAACCAGCATTGCGGCGATTCTCTGCCAACCCCATCCCGTACTTGCGTTCATTTCTCAGTTTGTTCTCGGTCAGTCGGAGTCGGAGTTTCAGAGCCTCCATTTCCTTCCTGTTCAGAGATATTTCCACCAGATAGTCGTTCACCGTGTCCTGGAACAGTTTGGTGATCTCGCACACCGACGCTCGGATCAAACTGTCCATGACAGAGGTGAGGTGTGTCTGGAACGTCTCCACCGAGTCCGCCATGGGGTTCGCTGCCGTGACGATCACACGATGGATCTGCGGAACTGGACCAAGCAGATATTCAACTGTTACATATGAACAGCATTAGCTAACTGTTTTGACTGCATTTGTTAACCAAGTCACATTATCAGTGACAACTACCTACCTACTGTTAGTCAGCAATATCGCACATAGACCTGTATAAACTAGTGGCTAACTAGTCTAATTTATGAAAGACTATACTTTTTCTTGCTGACGTTAGTAATTAAATAGTATCATAGATACCTCCTCACTAATACAGACAGTTGCACAAGACAGCCTAACTTCTAATGGAACGAGGAAGGACAAGGAACACACCCACCCACCACTCGAGGTTTAGCTAGCTAGCTACATTGCTGCCAAAACTAAAGCTTTAGCTAGATGGTAGCTAGCTAGTTAACGTTACTATTACAATTGTGAATACAACTAGACCTAACTGTAGCAATGCCAGCTAGCTAGTTAACGATCGTCGCGACGCTATCCTTCTTGAATACAACAGAACAGCTCAAGTGTTAGCTAATAACTAGCTAACGTTAGCTAGCTACGCACCGTGAAGTCGCTGAAATCAGAATATTGGAAGTATTCGATAACTAAACACTGTTTGTTCTACACGACAATCGAGAAGTATGCACACTGTAGATAAGCCAAGAGACGAAATGCCAATGGAAAAATAGATCCAACTTTATGTCCTCACTTCGAAGCAGCGTTTTCCTTCTTGCCTCCCACACAGGGTTGCCAGGTCTTTCAAAATATGCCCACAAAGCCTGAACTAGCCCAATTTGTGTTCCTACAGCAACAGAAGTTGCCACATTTAGCCAATAAAACCCCTTTTCCATTACGTTTTTGAGCGAATTAAGATGGAATATCGACGTGATTTGTAACGACGTAAGAACACATATATTCGGATTTCCATCAAAAGAATAGGCCTAATTCTTGCGAGCTAATTTGACTAATAAAGGAATTTGAATATGTCGCAAGAGAAAAAATAATTCACCCTTATTAAACTTGTAAATAAATCCCTTATGCCCATGTGCACAACTATAGATACATCCAACAGGGGGGTTTGAGGGATGAAAGTTGGACAGGGGATCTAAAAATCTCTGCACAAGAAACACTTGGACGAATTTCAAAATAATGTTTGGCTATTTTTTGGCAATTGTTCCATTATGTGCCAGACGTTAAAACTACAACCCGTTATAAATGTCCTATTTGCGAGATTGACTTGTCATTTCAATAGGCATAGTCTAGGCCTACTGACTCAAATCTGGGTTTATGATTGTAATTCACCTTTGCCATGGTTTGGTTAGCTAGATGCAGGTAGCCTATTGCCCCTGATCAGTGGCGATTTTGGCATGTAAATCTTGGTAGGGCAACTCAAAAACGTTTTTTTAGATGCATGCCAGCAAAGGCACTACAAAAACCCAACACTAAACAATACATTAATTGGACTATAACGGTGACAAACGGTGCCCACAAACTGTTAGGGCCTACATAAAGCTGTCCCAACATTTTACCACCGCTACACATGGCTATCCGCGGAGCCTTGTCTGGCAGCAAAACAGTTATTTCAGCCTCACTTACTGCCTTTTAAAAAAACATGGCTGACTTGCTTAAACAAATGTGGTTTCTAATGACAACTGAGATGTACAAACTATGGCATTAGGGGAAGACGAGCGGATAAGAGGCAATCCGTAATTCCGATTTAAGACATTAATGAGCGAGCTAGAAAGGACGTAGTCAATATAACTATTTGTTCAGCATTTTTCAAATGTACAGCGACAGAATTCAGAATTCATGGGCTGTTCTTACATTATTCTCCCTGTACACCAAGTCAGAACCGTAGGATAAATAAAGGGGGCATATAAGCAGACAATGAATTTCTCTAAAACAGGCTATAGGCAGTGGTGTAAAAAAATACTTTAAAGTACTACTTAAGTAGTTTTTTTGGGTATCTGTACTTTATGTTACTATTTATATTTTCGACTACTTTTACTTTTACTTCACTACATTCCTAAAGAAAATGATGTACTTTTTACTCCATACATTTTCTCTGACACCCAAAAGTACTCCTTACATTTTGAATGCTTAGCAGTAAAGGAAAATCGTCCAATTCACACACTTATCAAGAGAACGTCCCTGGTCATCCCTACTGCCTCTGATCTGGCGGACTCACTAAACACATTCTTTATTTGTAAATGATGTCTGAGTGTTGGTGTGTGCCCCTGGCTACCCGTAAATAAAAAAATAAAAACAAGAAAATTGTGTTATCTGGTTTGCTAAATAATATAAGGAATTTTAAATGATTTTTACTTTTGATACTTAAGTATATTTTAGCAATTAAATTTACTTTTGATACTAAAGTATATTTAAAACCAAATACTTGTAGACTTTTACTCAAGTAGTATTTTACTAGGTGACTTTCACTTTTACTTGAGTCATTTTCTATTAAGGTATCTTTACTTTTACTCAAGTATGACAATTGGGTACTTTTTCCACCACTGGCTATAGGCTACATGTGCACCACCAAGTCAGAACAGTAGGCTAAATTATGAGGGGAAAATTGACCAAATTATTAGAGTGAGGCACATGGGCTACTAACAGCTTACTACACAACATACACTTACAGTGGGGAAAAAAGTATTTAGTCAACCACCAATTGCGCAAGTTCTCCCACTTAAAAAGATGAGAGAGGCCTGTCATTTTCATCATAGGTACACGTCAACTATGACAGACAAATTGAGAGAAAAAAATCCAGAAAATCACATTGTAGGATTTTTTATGAATTTATTTGCAAATCATGGTGGAAAATAAGTATTTGGTCACCTACAAACAAGCAAGATTTCTGGCTCTCACAGACCTGTAACTTCTTCTTTAAGAGGCTCCTCTGTCCTCCACTCGTTACCTGTATTAACGGCACCTGTTTGAACTTGTTATCAGTATAAAAGACACCTGTCCACAACCTCAAACAGTCACACTCCAAACTCCACTATGGCCAAGACCAAAGAGCTGTCAAAGGACACCAGAAACAAAATTGTAGACCTGCACCAGGCTGGGAAGACTGAATCTGCAATAGGTAAGCAGCTTGGTTTGAAGAAATCAACTGTGGGAGCAATTATGAATTAATCTCCCTCGATCTGGGGCTCCACGCAAGATCTCACCCCGTGGGGTCAAAATGATCACAAGAACGGTGAGCAAAAATCCCAGAACCACACAGGGGGACCTAGTGAATGATCTGCAGAGAGCTGGGACCAAAGTAACAAAGCCTACCATCAGTAACACACTACGCCGCCAGGGACTCAAATCCTGCAGTGCCAGACGTGTCCCCCTGCTTAAGCCAGTACATGTCCAGGCCCGTCTGAAGTTTGCTAGAGTGCATTTGGATGATCCAGAAGAGGATTGGGAGAATGTCATATGGTCAGATGAAACCAAAATAGAACTTTTTGGTAAAAACTCAACTCGTCGTGTTTGGAGGACAAAGAATGCTGAGTTGCATCCAAAGAACACCATACCTACTGTGAAGCATGGGGGTGGAAACATCATGCTTTGGGGCTGTTTTTCTGCAAAGGGACCAGGACGACTGATCTGTGTAAAGGAAAGAATGAATGGGGCCATGTATCGTGAGATTTTGAGTGAAAACCTCCGTCCATCAGCAAGGGCATTGAAGATGAAACGTGGCTGGGTCTTTCAGCATGACAATGATCCCAAACACACCGCCCGGGCAACGAAGGAGTGGCTTCGTAAGAAGCATTTCAAGGTCCTGGAGTGGCCTAGCCAGTCTCCAGATCTCAACCCCATAGAAAATCTTTGGAGGGAGTTGAAAGTCCATGTTGCCCAGCGACAGCCCCAAAACATCACTGCTCTAGAGGAGATCTGCATGGAGGAATGGGCCAAAATACCAGCAACAGTGTGTGAAAACCTTGTGAAGACTTACAGAAAACGTTTGACCTGTGTCATTGCCAACAAAGGGTATATAACAAAGTATTGAGAAACTTTTGTTATTGACCAAATACTTATTTTCCACCATAATTTGCAAATAAATTCATTAAAAATCCTACAATGTGATTTTCTGGAATTTTTTTTCTCATTTTGTCTGTCATAGTTGACGTGTACCTATGATGAAAATTACAGGCCTCTCTCATCTTTTTAAGTGGGAGAACTTGCACAATTGGTGGCTGACTAAATACTTTTTTCCCCCCACTGTAGTATTACTTTCTAAGCTACAGTATACATATCTCTTTGGCATATTACATCATTTATGCAGCAGCATACAATACATTTTTGGACTCACCTTCTGCTGTGCTCACTTGAACAGGAAGGTGGCGCGTCGGTCCTTCATCTGCAAATTTTGTCATCAAACTTTGTCATCAAAGTCTGGCATTCTCTGGATTGATGGTGCTTTCAAGATAACTGGGAACTCTGAAAAAAAACAAGGTTGAATCATGACGTAAGTGATCTTCAGGTCGGAGCTCTAGAAAGAGTTCCCGATATGAAATACCGAGTTGGATGACCGTTCAAAACATATTTTCCCAGTCAGAGCTAGTTTTTTTCAGAGTTCCCAGTTGTCTTGAACTCACTGAAGTCATGCTGGATTGACAGCATGGCCAATGTTGAATGTTTATCCTTTTAAGCTTGGAAAAGAGACCTTTAAACCAAGACTTGGTCCACACATCCACTCCACTGAATAGCAGGCTAGTGATTACTTTGCAATGCTTGCAGTTAGCCACTGATTCCTTCCAAACCACTCATTGTTCAATTTGCAATTTCCAACTTGTTGTGTAATGTATGTCCAATGGCCGATAAGCACTGATTCGTTTTATCTATAATTTATCTTCATAATTTCTCTTTATATGACAAGGTTTGATAAGGATTTGCCAGTAGATTGTCGACTTGATTCATGATGATGACTGCTAGCTTGCTAGGTAAGATTTTGAAAGTATGATGTTGACATGATCAGTCCAATCAACGCTACTGTAGATATGTGATTT